CACCGTAGACCACCCTATTGAACTCCGCCCGAACTAGGTAATTGAGTGGGTTCAGGTCAGGGGACATACTTCAATATTACATCTTCTTCAGGTACGAAACGCCCTTCCATTCGAAGGCGGAGTTTTTCCAAAACCCTTTGATTCCATGTGGTGGCACCCAAACCTGTAGCAGTACAAGGTCTCCAAGAAGGTACGGGCGACGACATGTAGGGAGGATTCCTTCTCGAGTTTGCTCGATGTAATCGCCAGCGCTCACCTTCAGTCCGGGTCTACAAAGAAAATATCGGTCTTCCCATTCCAGGTACCCCGGTCCATACCATCAACTCGCGCCTCGGCGACTACGGTGAAGATGATGTCCTAGACCGTAGCGACGTTGTCGGAGCTGCTCGATGTTGGAGGTCTTCCAGATTGAGAGTACTGGTCTCCAGGTAGCTATCCATGGGTGACTCCACACTAGAAGTTTCGCAGCTGTTTGGAGGTGACATGAATTCCAAAGGTCTTCTCCAGTCAGGCTGCGACTGGAGATGACTTCATATTTTGGTGTACATGAAGGTGATGGGCGAGGCCAGCTCCTGCTTATAGAGGAACATCTTGGGTATCTTCCGCCCTGGTACTCGTATCCACGTCCTCTGTCTGGGCTGCGAAAACTTTGCTGATATGTGACTCGGTCAAAGTGACTTTTTTTGCCCCCCCCCCTGTATATTAGGTCATCCCATTCAAAAGTGCCGTCGGTTTTATTCGAATAAAACAAAGAGGAGAATAGATAAAAAAGTAATATTTTGGCTTCAAGTTAAGTAAATCCCTCCTTCACCAATGACCCGCTCCCAGTGCCCCGAAAGCCTTTGGACCTCTGGTACCTTCGATTTTTCAACAAGTGCGAGTAAATTGCTGTTGATGCCAATTTCGGCGAATGACAAAACATTGTAGCGTTTGCCGTCGGAGAGTACTCTCGACTGACGAGAACAATTGGAATCGCTCGGCTTTCTCGGTTATTATGGGCGAATGAGGCGATTGAACCCAGGTTCAGTGTTGTCTCTGTGCGCTCTGGCGGCTGAGCCACAGTACAGTTAGCATAGGGGTCCCGGACTATGACGAGTGCCTCTGTAGTTGTTGTGCTATCATCCATTTGTCGGTCTAATTGCTGATGAACAGGCAATATAGACCGACAGCGACGATTTTACTCTCTGTATAGCCGCCTAAAAGCACCAGTGTAGGGATCCTTCGCTATGTAGCTTCCTGTGCCCACGTAAGTTCTCATGGTAGACGGACGTTGGCCCGACGTGAGTCCTGTTTCTAATACGCTGTGTTTCCCTACTATTCCATCGTTCATTACTGAGTTACTAAGACAAGTAGACTCATAAACTTGTTAGTCCTTTCATGTGTTCTAGCAGTCTAGCAGCAGTACGGTCCAGCAGTAACCGAGCAATACCTTCTCACGGCGTTCAATGCTGAGGATAGAGAGTTCCTAACCTAGAGAGAGTCACTTAAAGGTGTCACGCATGCAGGCGCAAGGCCCCGTACGATACTGGCCAGGTCGGACGTAGGTAGCCACGGTAGTAGAGCTGGTGCATCGATCCCCTTGGAAACTCAAAGTGTGGCCTGCGAGCGGACACAGATGCGCAACATGGTGCATCCGACGATGGCGAAACGAACCCGTTCGGCCATCGATCCACCGGTAAAAGACGTCACTACCACTCTCGGCCGCGGACCACACAAGCACACATTCACCAAAGAGAGGTGAACAACGCAAGTTGATATGGAATTAAGTCATTAACTGGGGAGCTAATTGCGGTAGCATTCGGGTGTAAAAGAGTACTAGGGGTGGCAACTAGTCCACCAAGCGTCCATGCGCAGAGAATGCTACCAATATCCGGGCAAGTCGAAGGAGACGTGCGGAGCAAACGCCAGGTAGAGAACGAACTCACACGAAGGAAGCAGTCCGGCTTCCAGGCGACTTTTGCTATCCAGTGGAATAGCGAGCAAATGATCGCACGGGCAGATGCGGTAGTCGATTCGACATCCGTGTCAGCGGGCAACCTAGAGGCGCTCTCATTCCCCTATTGCGTGGCCCAGGGGCCCATTTGAGTAGGGTCGGTGTAATGTGCAGACGATCTAGGTGAGCTTTCACCTCCGTTTACTACAATGAAACTTCCGACGGCACTATGAACTCAGTTGCGCACGGAAACCATAATCCCTTCATTTTATAAACCAGTAACTTTGTGTGTCGGTTTGTATGTATGTAAGTATGTAAGTATGTATGTAAGTATGTATGTATGTAAGTATGTATGTCTGTCCGTCCGCAAAATGTTTCACGGGTTCGAATTACTGGAGGGAAAAACGACCGCTAGGCAAACCGGTAACTGATTGGTAAGGATGTATCAACCCAATGTTTTGATTGCGATAACAGCCTCCACTATTGAGAAACGCATTGCGGTAGCACTTCCGAGCCATTGCACGAGTGCTGGCGGGCAGCTGGACGTGCTGAGTGAGGGGGGCTAGGATGGGGGCGCAACAGGTCGCGCTCAATGCATGTGCTCAGCCGGAGCTGAGCACATGTATTGGAGGGAGGCAGAGGAAGGGGTCGCTTGGAGGGGGGGGGGGTACAGTGAGGGGTGCGTAGCGCGCGTTCAGATAACACGCAAGTCACGCAATGAATGAGGAAACAAAGCCGCTGACCAAAATTGTGCAAGCCAATCTATGTTACCGTAACGAACTAAGAAGTTGTTTTGGTTGTGATAACACTCTCCACTATATAAGAAAACCACTACACTCCGAGCCATTGCACGGGTTGCTCGCGTGGCAGTTGGACGTAAGCGCGTGCAAGGGGCAAGGTGGGGGGGGGGGGGTGGAGTGGCGAGTACGGAATGGGGTGAGGTGAGGAAGGTGGGAGTTAGTATCGAGTGACCCCCTTCTCCCATCCTCACTCCCTTGCGCGTACTCAGTCGTCTGAGCCCATGCAGGGGAAGGAGGCATATGGATTGAATCGGGCAAACTGGGTACAGTAAGGGGATGCGTAGCGTACGCTTGGATAGGAGCAGGCGGCAAGACAGAAGGAAAGAACCGCTAGCAATTAGAAACAAAAGAAAAACAAATATTGGGGAAAGGAATATCACCTCAACATTCATCACAACGAAAACTGCAAGCTAATCGCCATGTTACAGCAACGAACTCAGGCCAAGGCTGTTTGATTGCTGAATCGCTCCCTATCTAAAGCCAACTGCCAAATGTGATAGAGTCTGTGCTATTGGCAGCAGAGCTGCTCGCTTGGAGCTGGACGTGAGCACGAGCAAGGCGGTGGTAAGAACAGTGGCGGCGTAGTGTCCCTATGTTGCACCAGCTGCTCACGTGGCGGCTGCATCCACGTGCGGGAGTGGGCGCCGGTTGAAATAGGGTCAGTGGGATATGATGTGGTGAGGGGGATACCAGATGAGAACGGCGATTTCGCGATTAGGAGCACATAGGCCTGCGGCGGTAAGGCGTCTACAGTTGCGATAAGATGAGAAGAAAATGGATCGACCACAATCGGAACTGCCGAACTCGATTAATATCTGCATTAATCGAATTATGGTGGTGTTTTGATAGTCATAACAGCCTCCACAACATAACACAACCATTTAGTGCACTCAGAACCATCACGGGCTATTCGCGTAGCAGCCGAGCGTGACCTGTAGGGTGGCTGATCGGGGAATAGCTGAGGTTAGTTTGGGGATAGGTGAGGTGGAGGGGTACCATATTGGCGCGACCGACGCTCGCCTGAACAGGAGCACGCAGCGACTGCGGACGAAGCATCCTTGGCTGTCACAAGATGGGGTGGAGTAAATCGCATTACATCGCATACCTACATTTTGGAACTTGATTATTATGAAGTGGCCGCTGCGATCATATTGGCGCGTTTCTACACATTCATATTGAATTAGCACCCAGACAGCGTTAGTCACGACTCTAAAGCAGTTGCATGAGCCCGGCGAAGCCGGGCTTCCAAGAAGGAGGAGAGCTCGGCGTTAGCCGGGCGATCCGACTGGTAGTAGTATAAAGTCCACATAAAGCAATTAGTCCTACTGATGTGGTCCAAGCTGTAGAACGAATATCATTAGTGACACTTACTCATGTAGGCAACAGCACTTAGAGGATTCATTTCCATTTGTTCAAGTCATTTTCTTTCAGTAACCATTCACTTTTGTTTCTTCACAAGTTTTTCAATGCTATTCATCCATTTCTATCATGGCTTTATTCATCATATGTTCCAAAATCGCTTAACAACACTCACTACAGCATGCAGGAGTTTTAGCAGGGACCATCTTTTACATATATGCGTTGACAATCGCCTCGCCGAAAAACAAGCAATTCACAACATAGAACGCAAGCCAAAAACGGTTTCAGGTTATCTTCAACTTGGGATTATTCGTGGCTTGCCTGTCACACCAGCGGAAAGACGATGTCTGCATCCGGCTATGTAATAGGTCAAATAACGAAGGCAGCCAAGGCGAAGATGATAGAGATCTACAACGCCGAAACAGCCATGGGAGCTTCGGCTACGACCCCAAAGCATCAACGGCATATAAACGTCAGTTGCAGGAAGAAATGGCAGGGATACTCTACCTTACAGAAAGTCTGAAAATGCGGCATGGTCGCACAGAGGTAGAAAAATGGCCGGACAAGAGAAATGGAAGAGGAAGCAAAACAATACGCTTTAGTACAGGAGTTCACCGAGAATTCGGAAACAATTCAGGCAGAAGCCCTTCTGTACAAAACATCGTTAATGCTTTCCTTGGCAAACAACCTCAAAAAATGAACTAGAAGAAAGTCTTATAACTGTGAAAAAACTTCGAAAAGCCTCTACAAGTACAACATATACGCGCAGAACAGAACAATCCAGTAACTGAAATCAAGAATTCCACCCTTTGATGGAGACTTAGTGGAGTTTCCGGAATTTTGATGAGAAACGTACCTCATTGCAGTACACAACAGTCTTAATCTGGGAAACGCCGCCAAATTCGTCCATGTGGAAGGCTTGCTATCAGGAAGAGGTAAGAGATCTAACTCCACGTCGCGTTCCAAACCCTAAAAAGTCAGGGTAACATTACGCGCGAGCAAGTTGAAGCTTTACTTAATACATACAACAGGCCGGAGGTCCTAAGGAACACACTAGTCAAACAGCTCGAGGATTTTCCTCACGCGGGAAATACTCCGATAGACCAACGTCACATGTTTTGCAAGGTAAAAGCGATATGGACGCAACTAAGCAATCTCAACGAGCAGCCTGGATCGACTCCCCTGATGAGAACAATACGTTCGAAATTCCCTAAGAAGGACAAGAGAAAAGTCGGTGAAATGGGATCAAAAAACGACAAGTGGACTACAGAGGACCTACTCAGGGCGCTCGAAAGCAACATAAACCAGCTAGAGATTATGGAAGACACAGACCCACTTTCCACGAGACAGTCAAAATCATACGCGGCAAGTGGAAAAAGGGAGAGCCCAGCAATTCGAGAAAGATCAGGGGCGCAAAGAATTTCAATCAACAGTCCGCAGGTGCCACACAGTGACGTGCAGCAACACCGAATAAAGCAATGAAAAGATCACGGTGCAGTATTCTGCTGCAAACACGGAACCGCAGTACTTCGCACTGCGACGAAGTTACATCACCAAACGCAAGAAGAAAGCTGGCGATACAATCACAACTGTATTGGAAATGTCTAAACTCAGGACACAGAAAACAACACTGCAAGGCTCCCCCGTGTCGATATTGTAAAAGAGATCATCAAGAGACACTGTAAAAGACCACTCCAGCCCAAGCCGTAGTCCACGACGAAGACCACAAAACCGAAGAAGTCCAACCGACAGCTATCGATCAGAAATAGATTCACGAAATAGATTAAGGACGAAATTCGCATCCTCAAGCCCCGCCTTCCGAAGAGAAAGGTCTCGCGTAAGAAAAGACGACAACAACGGAAGGATCACCACATAATAGAGCTGGATTCAGAAAAACATCAGAAAGGCACACTTACCCTAGTTCGTCACCAGATCCGCGTAGCTCTAGAAGGAGAAAAGAGGAAACAGAATTAGACTTTTCTGAGAGGTCATCCGATCAGTCCGACGAGGAAGTATTCCGCGTGAACATCCTACGAACAAGAACAGTACTGAACCTGGCGTCACGCGAAAGACAGAATACAAAGATCCTACTATATATAATCGGCTATGTCCGACTGTGTGTCTGTGTGTGCGTCTGTCTGTCTGTGTGTGCACGAGAATTCGTAGCGGAGCGTCGCAGAAGAGATAGGATGACAGTTCCAAGAAGTGATATACATGGCAGGACGGGAACACTTTTGGTGGGTGATAGAATGTGATAGCACCTGATAAGATTTGATAAGGGGCCTTAGACACCGAGGGACACCAGATTAGTAGTGTTCGTTGCA